TATTCTATAAGTAATGAAGTCCTTTGTCTCTGATCCAGGAGTTTCATGTCTTCTGCCAACATCCATGAAATCGTGGCAGGGCAACTTAAAATCTACGAAGGGTCTGTGACTTTACCCTACCTGGAAGCTAGTGATACCTAATTGCTACATGTAAAATTATCATGTTCATAGTACCCTTCTTTAACAACTTCCCCAATGCCATTGCGTGCCTTGTCTTTACTTAAGTATACTTAAGCAAGATTCATACTTTTTTATGTCAAGACTCAAGACTATTTAATTATTTAAAATATGGTACAAGGAAATACACTGCAGGCAACTGTCATTCTCTATAGGAGGAAAAAGGGAAAGTTTTGCCTTTTTCCATTTTTAGAGAAAGTGAAATGGCAAGGCAGAAAAATCAATGATTTGCAAAGGCTCTCAAAAAAAGCTCCACAGCAGATATAGCAGGCAGGGCTGTGACCTTGGGTATAGTTCCTGAGAGATTTTGTTTAATTGACCAAATGGCATCAAGTAACAGTAGTCAGGTGAGGTATGGGGAGGTAAGGCAGCCCTGAGTCATGGAACCACAAGGAATCTAGTTTCCTGCCAACTCATGAAATACTGGACTGGAGGTGTCCAAAAGCTTTATGCAAGGGAACTAGCATGCATTAGGCTGATGATTGATGATATTCTATTGCTACTGTGCCAGCTGGAAACAGGATACCAGGTATTTCTGATTTCTACCATGTGGATTAGTTAAATTAGGAGAGTGTCTATACCTGAAGGAGACTCAAGACATGTTATACAACAAAGGTGACAAAGATGCTCAATCAATGACTGATAACAATGACAACAGATATGATGACAAATGATGCCTATTTGAAAAATGATTATTCATTTAAACAAACTGAACCTTTCATGATATAACTATATGTCTATATTTTATTTGCAGGTGTGAGGATCAGGTGGCTAGAGGAATTGTCATATTTACCAGTGCTTTAAATGCCTGAACTTCTGAGAGAAATATCAGTATACTGTGTCAACAATGTCTGTAAATGCCTCCAAGTAAATGCCGCTGAGCAGGCCATGGCCATATAGGCCATAGTTTATATCTCTAGGGCCAAACAATGGTATTTGGAAATATCTAAGAGTCTAATTATAAGTTAAAAAAATTTTGAACTGAAATTTTTCATTTCAAAAACTGTTGAACATATTTTCCCGGGCATAAAATGAATATAGGGTGGTAAAGTTTTCAAATGCATCTCTAAGGTATTATTTCTGTGTGCAGTATACAGTACCAAACTAAAAATAATAAAGATAATCCAGTCATTCTGTATGCTTTCATGACGACATTAGTGGGTGAAAGATACTTGTAAACTCTTGACAGCAGCTTCCTTCCACCAAGAAAGGCCATCTCTCTCTATCCTGCCTCAGGAAGGGCTCAGGTGTGTGAACCAGGGAGCAAGGAAGGAACACGGTTCTAGCCTCCAAGGAAGGCAGTTCAACCCTGGGACACCCTGCAGGTCTCACAGCAATGCCTGGTTTTGAGATGGGTGGTTTTCTCCACTTTGTTTCCATGAAATAGTTTACTTAGGTGTGACACCCGCTGGGGTAATAAGGCACCTCGCTTTATTGACTTCACTTGTGGGTACATAGATGATTATTATTTTTAATTCTCAGGGTAACTTCCTCAAGAGTCATATCAAAGAACTCTATCTCAATAAGAACACTACCTTTTCTTTGGTTTGTGAGAATAATTTATTTGTTTCCAGTGTCATCTGTGAGTTTTTTTAAATAGTAGGAAATAAACATATCAGATAGATATTCTGATGTATACCACTAGGGCCCAGTGAAAATAAGGAAATGATGATGAAAGCAATGGGTAAAAAGGCCCTTCCATGTTTACCTAAGTTTGGGGCTGATCGTCTCCATTAATTACAGCACAGTGCACATGAGAACACATGTATACGTTTGTTCCTCACTTGGGCCTGGTAGTTTTGCACAGAGGAAAAACATGCAGACTCTCACCACTACGTCTAGGCAGTATTGGGACACACATCTGCCTGAGCTACATGAGGGCCAGATGGAAAAATAATTTAAGCACATGCTGACTTGATGGTGGGGTGGTGGCATAATTCATACAAAAGTTATAGCAGATTTAGCTGGGAAGGTTTGGGGCTGAAAGGTCTCACTAGATGGCACATAATGCTATGGGTATTTTATCATTAGCCTTTACCTCTTTTCAAATATATTTTGTAAGAGAAAAGTTAATGATGCTTTTAATATTTTCATATCTTCCACCATTTAAAGTTGTCCAGAATATGAGTCAGGAGTTTTAACAAAAGAACCCATAAAGTGACCTTTGATCCTGAGGTATATAGAATTCAATAACAAATATATTTGTTTTTCCCATTTTTGGAAATATAATCCTGAAATGTAGGCCACAATTTTGCAGATACTGTGGAGAAGGTGTGGCATGAATATGAACACCACCACAAACACTGTGATATGGTGATGCCCTGAGAAATGGCTGGGTTGGGAGTCAACATACTGGTGGTACTCCCAGCATGGTGCCAACAAGATTTGAAGCAAATCTTCCCATCTATTTGCGCCTCAGCAAAATATGGATACTAGCATCCCCCCTACTTACTCAGATGCATGACATGGTATTAAATAGTAGCATTTGGGAGGAAGGGGCAGAGCACGACAGAAACGTGAGGTGGATTCTTCTCATACAATTCCATAAGGAGAAAGAAAGAAAAAGCGCGTCAATCCCTGGCATGTTTGGACCACAGAATGCCAGGTGTTTGGTGCAGGAGAAACATCTGGATGTGTGATTATATTTTTTATTGTTCCTCCAGATGTTGGGATATTGTAAATGTTAGGGATAAGCGAAAAATTACTTTGAGCATTCGAAAATGGGACCTGGTAAAAAGAATAGGCTATTGATTGGATGCTAGCAGAGTGTTTCAAAGAACAATAACAAATTAGGTTGAAGGAAACCTTTCTGTCGTGTCAATTTTGTATTTCTGTTATAAGGGCAAAGGTCCCCAAGTCAGAAGGAAGCCTCATTAGTCCTTTAGGAGACCATCCTCCTACAGCATTTCTTCTCATATACTTATAATTTCCAAGGTATAATTCAGTGATGTATTAGAACAAGGATGTTAGAATGCTTTGCTAGTTTCAACTGACTTGAGTGATAATTACCTAACACATGATGGACAGCTCTCTTCTAGGTTCTTCAAGAGCCACTGCTTTTTTTTCCCCCAGAAAAAAAGCAAACATCATACAATTTTATTAATTTGTAATTATGTCTCAATTCAAGTTCAGTACAGTATTCTTTTTTCAGATGCCGAGATCACTTATTGTGTGATTTCAGCCAAACATTCTCTCAGTATCTATTAATCCTTTCTCTGTAGAGCAAAATGACATTTGCTATTTATCTTTCTGAAAAAACACTGAAATAACTTTATTTTCTCCAAATGCATACCATGTATTCTCAAAAGAAAAGTATTTTCTGTGTTCTTATTGAAGTTTCAAATGTTCTTTTTAATTGGTTAGAACAGCCTCAAGTTTGACTGTAATTGGACAAAATACTTGAGGAGCTGGTTTTTTTTTGCCATAAACAAACATCAAGTAGATTAAAAATTTTGAGGACAAAGAATATTTATAGATGCTGACAGTTCCCTCTCAGCTTGGGGCCGCTGTGTATTTCACAGTTTAGACAACCATTCTGTAAACTTCTGGAGGTACAATTCACAGAGTTAAAAGTTCCAAGATTAAGTGCTGAACCCCTTTGCAGGGGACTCTTTTTCATATTACCTCTGGAAATACCACAATTTAGATAGAACAGTGATATCAGGCAGGGTTTGGAAAACACAGAGCTATTATAGAACAGTCTTTTTTTTTTTTTCCTGATTCTCAGAGTCTCAATATTTTTAGACCGACATTACTCATCTATGACTGAGCCATCTGCCTGGGACAATCTTCCATGGCTCAAGGACTAGGAGAAACTGGACGTGATGGAAAGCTGTGGTGCAGCCAGCCTGCTTCTGCAGAATGAGCCCTGAGGTCCCGAGAGCCAGCAAAGAATTGGACAGACACGACTGCTCTGTTACATCCAGTTCTGCTGAGGTCATGGAGTCCTGCCTTGTTTAAATTAAACTTTGCACCATATTTAGTCAACCCTCCTAGAGTTAAAAGTTTAGTATCTCTGTTGTCTTCAGTTGGCTAAGTCTGCAGCAGGCTGCAAGCCGTAACACTCAATTAAACCAAACAGAGCTAGCTAGCTAAGCTGCAGGGTTAATCAGCACACACTGTGTAGGCGCCTGTGCCCAAGAACCATCCTCTCTGTTAACGTGAAAGCAAAGAACCCACAATTTGCAGGGCAGTCAGGAAAACAGCTGATGTTCCAAGGCTGCAATGTACAATATCATTGTTTTTCTCCAAAGAAAGCTAAGGCGACGGAATTTTTCCAGGGAGAGCCTGTCTGCACACAAGCACCTCCACCCATGCCACGTGCCAGTAATCTTTACTATTTTCAATTTTTTTTCTTCTCCAACATTTAACTCCTGTTTTCACTAGGTCCACATATTTCCTTGGTTGCACTGATTAATTTTATTCTCCATCAGTTTAATTTAAACCAGACCCACAATTCCTAGAGTAAGAACATTTCAAAGTGGCCCGTTTATGGGGCAGATCCAATAAATACATAAATAATATCCAAATTATAGAGTCCTATGTTAAAACCCTGTGATTTGGGCTTCAATGTCACAGTAACTCTTATTTTTAGTATCTTCCTCTTTCAATGACCACTGACAATATTTACAAATAGTTTTGCTTCAATATAAATGGCTCTGAAAAAACATCCATTTTTGTGGCAGCACAGGTTGCAGTCACCCCGCACGCTTATCCTCAGTTACCTCTATTAGTTTGCACGTAGGAATGGTTACTACGCCCAGAAGAAGCCTGTCTGGTGTTCAGGAACCCGTCAGTTTTCCCTCTCCTCTCCCAGCACTCACCTTGGGAATGCTGAGGTGTTCCTGGGGAGCAGCATGCTCCTGTGAGAGCCTCTTGTGAGTCTAGAGATGAAGGACTAGGGCTCAGAGGGGCGGGGGAGGCAGGGGCTGCTGGTGAGGTCAGGTCCAAGGAGAGGTCAGCTCTGCCCCGGCTTGCGCTCCGGCTTCTCAGTTCCTTCTCGTGCGCTTCAGCTGCCAACTGCTCCAAGTATTTGTATCTGAAAGTTAAATTCCAAAGGGTTTCCGTAAAAAGAAAGAGGAGCCCGTGGCTGATGCTTGTTTATGGACGAAACACCTGCAGAGTGAGCTGGTTTCCTGATGCACACAGCACAGTGCAGGGCTGGCTGGAGGGCCAGTCTGCCAGAAACACCCAGCAGAGCCAAGATGCTAATGATTAAAAATCCCTCATCATTCATAAGCAAACAAATTGGGGGGAATGGCCACATCACGCAGTCTCCAGATACTGGATCACTGCTGCAGGATCCTAGTTCGCTCTTTTAGGAAACATTTGTACAAATAAGCAAAAGAACAATAATGACCATCCAAACAGCCCAACAGTGACAGCTGAAAACCACACACCCTCAGAGCCCACAGCGGTGAAATGGGACGGTGCCCTGGTGCAGCAGAGAAACAGTGCCCCCAAAATACCGAAAGGGGGTGTTGGATGAAGGCCTCCCTGAATTTCTGAACCTGCTTCAATGCTAACAGCAATGCGACTGGAATTCACTTTGTTCTCTCAGTGTCGACCATGGAAACTTTTTTATATTCTAAAATATTTCTGAGTCGGACTCAGACATCCAATAGCTTGGACCTGACGTCACATATAGTTTATTCATCAAAGTCAGTTTAAAAGAACAAAGATACATCTGTTTTGCATTTCAGGCAGGCAGAACCCACTAACTGTTTATTAAGACCAGCTACCAATCATATTCCTCGTGGTGCGCTTTATAGATCAGACCAAAATAACTTTGAAATACGTGCCTCTTCCAGATGTCTGCTAATTTTACCCACCCTTATTTGCTCAGAAATAAATTTATGAATTCAGCTGTAGCCAGGTTCTGACTATCTAACCCACCACTAAACTCTGAAACAGCTTATTCAAGACTCTCACTCACATCCATCCAGATTCACTACTTCAGCTCCTTCCAGTGGGCAAGCCCCCAACTTTGTCCCCATAGCCCCCACATGGCACTCCTAATTCACCAGGACAAGAAAGATGGGGCACCAACATAAAACCTTTAAAAACTGCATTGCAAAAGCATGCATTTCTTCATCCATACTTAAGGTGGGCATGGCTCCCCCACATCTGTAACCATCAGCCCTTTTCCCTGCCAGTCCAATGGCAGTCCAGTCTTCAGGCCAGGCTTGCATGTGCATCTGCCGCTGTGAGGCCTGCCTTGACCATCACAGCTGGAAGTGATCTTGGCCTTGCCTCTGAACTCATGTCGGATATGTAGTCCATTCAACTAGGATGGCATTTTACATTTACTGCCTGGCATATTTAGTCATCTTTTCACATGTCTATGTCTGTTTTCAACAAGCAGATAATAGGATTTTTGAGAACAGGAAGATTACCCTCCTTTGTTCTTTCCCTGGCGCCTAGCACTTGTCGGCTGACGGGGAACAGGCAGAGCGTGCAGTGAGAAACCTGCAGGGAAGCACCCCGCCTTCAGAGGTCCACCTGAAGTGCAGGATGCCGACAGGGCAATTGCACCCTATTTCACTTTCTTGGGGAGTAAGCTTACTTTCATGGTGAATCTCTGATAAAAGACGTGTGGTGGGTCTGTATAGATACAAACGTCTGAGGGTGGCTTCAAGAGCAGCTGCCTCACAGTTACAGTTGCAGAATGAAGAAGCTACGCCTAGAGAGAAAGCTTTTGAAACTCTGGGTTTTCCTTTCCAACAACGTCACCTCTCAAAAGGTAGGCGAGGTAAGAAAAGGAAAGTATTTCTGAACTTAATTCTGACCAGCCGGAAAAACCACCTGGCTGTGGAGGTGATGGGAATCTTGGAAGAAAGTGATCTTGAGAGCAAGAATCGAAGCCCATAGGAGACAAATTTTAAATGAGATAGTGGCAAACTCAAGGTCAGGGGAAGTCTGTGAGCACAGACACCCCTACACTGAGTCCAAGCCTTCTGCAACAGGAGACAGGGGCAGGCGAGAAATGACGTGCAAATAAGGGAGCCTGCATGGGTCCAGGGGGCAGGAATCCTGAAGCAGGAAAGTGTGCTCAGCAAAATCAGAAGACTGCAGAGAACGGTAACAAAGCCAAGAGGACAACCCATTCATGACCTGCATTTGAGAGGCCCGTTCCTGGTCTTGGCCTCCCCATACCCCATCCAGTGGGCAGCCGGCTGCCAGGCATGTGCTGGAAGCCAAAGTATTCACCCCATTTTCTGGGGGACTCCAGGGGTTTCTCATCCAGAGTCTGGATAAATATGACTCAGAGACGATTCCCGTGCACCTTTGGTCTCATGGATGCCATACTCGGGGATCCAGGAGGCATGGGAAGAGTCACAGGTTTAATGTGGACTGTCCCAAGGATGTGTTCATGTGGTAGACAAAAATGGCAGGGGGCGGGGGCACGGGGACTTGTTTAAAGGGTAGAAAGTATTTCAGTTCTACAAAATGAAAACAGCTCTGGAGATCGGTTGTACAATAATGAATGTGCCGAACACTACTGATCTGTACACTTGAAGATGGTTAAAATGGTCAACTTCATGTTATGTGTGTTTTGCCACAATTCAAAACTTTAAAATGTGGCAGGCACAGGGAGGCCCGGATGTCAAGAGCCACTAAATCTTTCTAAAAAGGTAGCAGCAGTGTTCACCTGCCATGGCCGGAGTGGTCAGGGTGGACCGGTATGCACAGGAAGAGCCAGGTCACCTGGCATTTACAGCCGTACAACTCAACAAGCTCTCCTGGCCCCCACACACTTCCAGCTGTTCTTGGGGAGGAGGCTGGACTTATATCATGATCTTCCCTTACAGAGTGACTCTTAAGTGTCACCACTTAGGGGCCCAATAGTGCTTGGACCCAGGAGCCCACCAGCCCATGCAATGACTATCACAAATCCTTGGTGCCTAGGGACACAACCCCCAACCCATAGGCCCTGATGAACCCTTGCAGGCACAAAGCACGGGGTTTTCTATCCATGGACCACAGCCCCAACAAAAGACTTTTCACCTTTGCTGCCTTCATGCAAACATTCCTATTTATCTTATCTCTGCCTGTATCTTTTTAGTCATTCATCTTTTCATTATTTATTGCACAGTTGTTGAGTGCCTATCATATGCTAAGAACTGCAGGAGGTGCTAGGGATTTAATAATCAACAAGGAAAACCCCCACCTTATGGAGCTCACAGGTCATTGGAAGAGACAGTCAAACAAACCTTTGGGATAAGCTCAACTTCCACCATGAGTGTGGATGGCAGCACTGGTACTGCAGCCAAGGGAGCCTACGCAGGCCCAGTCTCTTTGCACAGGACCCTAGAGAAACCCTGCTTGACTTTAGACTAATCTGAACCTACTTACTGATGGCTTTTCCCGCCATACTCCTCAGAAATTCTCCGTGACGCGAAACCAAAATCCGGCTCCCTCTTAACTTCCACTGTCCTCAGAGCTGTTCAGCAGGGCTCAGAATCCTGCCTTCCTGCTTCATCGATCATTTTCATGCATCGTTTCCCAAATCCTAGTCCAGTCCTGACATTTCCCTTGCACTCTGTCCCCACAGCCCTGCTTGCCATTAGGCATTTCCTCTCCAGGTCCTGCTTACCCCCTAAGATTAATCCCCATCCAGACCTGCACCCCAACATGCCCCCAGACTGAATCACATTTCTTACTAGTCCCTTAAAAAATGATTCATGAATGTCACTTAAATCAATCATCATCAGATAAAGCCTTTTTTCTAATATTTACAAAAATTAGAAGTAGCACCTCAACAGAAACTTACTCTGGGTCTGCACCCATTGTCAATAAAACAGTTTGCCTGAAATAATGGAATGAAATGATATGAAATAAAACACATCAGGATAAAATCAAATGTGTCTGGATGCCCATTACACCTAAAAATAGCAAAATGACATTGGTCTTGTTACACTAGATGTCACAAATCTCAAAAAGCCCTCTGCTGTGACTCTGGCCATCCTTTTCTGAGTCATTGCATTAAGAGGAAGAAGCATGGAACCATACACACACACACACCCGGCTAAATCATGAAGAGTTAACAGATGGAGTCTTCTTCCTTGTTCCTGAAACTCTTTCCACCTCTGATCTCCATCAGTTTTCCCCATCCATGTCCAAAGTCCATTGTACTTGGAAGTCTTATCTTTTCCTGGCTTACCAGGAACCCCCAACAGCTTTCCAAACAGGGATAAAAGTATATGCCCCTCCCTCCCATCTTCACCAGGGAATTCAAGATGCAAACTAACCAAGAAAAGTGGCTGGTCCAAACCAAAGGAAAATGCTTGGCTGCTTCCCCAAACCTCCGTGTACACAGAGAGGGGCTGGAAGGAAGGTCTCACATGGGACCATGGAGAGCCTGCTCCTGCACCCGCGGAGGAGGCCCAGGCAGAAGGGTGGCATGGGGGCGAGGACCGAGGCCAGGACAAGAGGAGTCAGGAGAGGAGTGGGAAACTCCTCTGTACACGTGTTCAAGGCATAAGTGGTGCTCTGCTTTGGGAAAAAGAACAGAAAATAACATCCAGGAAGAGGTTGCCTTTGGTGGTTTGGAAAATTTTGAGGTCAGTTTGAACCATTTCAGACCCGAACACCTCCCCAGGAGCTTTCAAGCCTTGCCTGTGTAGACATTACCTGACCGTCAAGTTGTCAAAATCTAAAAAAAAAAAGTAGAATCTGGAAGGAAAGCTAAAAAAAATAAAATAAAAACAAGATAAAATTTGATTTCTTAAGCCTAGGCATAAAGTCAAAAGCACTTCCAGTAAAACTATATGTCATGTCCCCCAATGACAAAAACAGGTATAAATTAGAGAAATAGAAGCTTCTTGTTTCTTTATCAGCATCTTTCACTCTAAATTTGCTGGTCACAATTGGTTATTAGGACGGTCATAATCAAAAACATTGGCATTAAAGCAATGCCGTAGTTTTGTTTATGAGGCTGACCTAACCATCTAATTTTTTAATCAAACACAGGCAGACCCCACTCCTCCCTGCTTTAGACTGCCCTGATCTATTTATCTGATGGTGTCTAAAAAAATGATCACAATTCGATTTTTTATTGGCATAGTTCGGAGATCATTAGGTTCCCAACTGGCTCTGGTACGAAATCAGCCTTTCCATCTCTCCATGCAGTAACCCCATCTGGTGGTAGAGGGAATAACTGCAGTGCTACCGGTAAAGATTTGCCTTTTGCTGTTCTTCCAAAAGCAGTTTCCTTTGCTTATCTAAATGTATCAGACATTGAATACATTAACTTTGTATTTTTTAATGGAATTCAAAGCATGTTGCCATTGAAATTAAAAAACTGGTTTGACTATTTTAAATAAAGCTGTTAGTTCATTTGCTCATTCATTTCATACATCCTTCCTAAGTGCCTAATATGTGGCAGGCACTGACAACCAAGGAAAACCAGGCATGGCTCATGACATCAAGGAACTGGGTACAGTTCAGTAGGGAGACATTTAAGTGATCAGCGAGAGTCTCGGTGGGTTTGGCACCCCAGCCAGTGCCTGGCATAGTGTGGGTGCTCAAATATTTGTTGCAGGAATGCTGAACAAGTGACCTGGAAGCATGCATAGGGGCACCTAACCCAGGCCCAGTGGTGGTGGTGCAGTGTATTTAAAATACAGTAAAACCTTGGATTGCAAGTAACTTGGTTTGGGATTGTTCTGCAAGATGAGCAAACATTTCTAATACATTTTAACTTGGTAGACGAGCGATGTCTTGCCATACAAGTAGTTTGCTTCCAGAATGAATTATGCTCACAAACCAAGGTATTACTGTATATACCATATGTAAATATACTAAAATAATGTGCTCATTTGAAGAAGAATTTTGGAGACACAGACACATATATTTCACACCACGATGGCACTAAATAATAAGTCTGTATTTTCTTTGGAAAATTTAGATAACCAAGACACTCTATTCTGCAAAATGCCAGTTATCCAAGGTATTGGGTGTCTTAGGTGAAGCTATTATATTTTAATTAACACGGTCTCCTCTGCATGCGTGGTTAAGTGTGCAAAGTCACGTGCCATTTGGTTACAATGGAAAAGAAAAGATATACAAACCTTTCTTCTCTTGCTTGTCTTTGTCCCTCTCTTTTGTCTAAATATTCTCGGCTAGTGGAATATGCAGAAGACACAAAATAAGGAAGGAAAATAACAGATTTAGATGCTCATAAAATTGCCAAGGAATTATTAACAGGACATCATGAAAGCCTGCTATTGCCTCAGAAATGGAAAGCGGTTGTAGCAGAATTTTTAAAAACCAACTGTAAAAGCTGTACTTTAAAAGTACTACATATAGGGGTGGCCAGTTAGCTCAGTGGGTTAGAGTGCAATGCTCATAACACCAAGGTTGCTGGTTCAATTCCCACATGGGCCACTAAGTTGCGTCCTCCACAACTAGATTGAAATAACTACTTGACTTGGAGCTAAAGGGTCCTGGAAAAACACACTGTTCCCCCAAATTAAAATTATTTTTAAAAAAGTACTACATATAATGGTTTTTCTATAAAATCACAGGGATGTCTGAAAACACGGAGTTATTGGATTTACACAAACATGACTAATTACTCTTGGGTAAGAAAAATTAGTATGGGAGGGAAGAGAAACAAAGGTTAAAAGATGAAACAATACATAAAATATGGGAATGGCAAGAAAAGCAATAGCGTTCAGAGGTGATTAACACCCAATCAAACTCTGGTAGCCTCACAGCTTTCATCTCAGGAATGAAATCTGAATGCCTCCAAATGCCTTGGCCATTTTGTGTTGCACTCCTCAGTTTGGACTTTCCTCCAACAGCCTAGGGTTCTTTCCCCACATCCCTCACATTCTCAGGTCCTCTGCAGGGATCAATGGAAGCTCTTGCTTTGTATATTCTCTTTTGTCTGTACCCACATCAGACAATGCCCAGCTTGGTCCAATTTTAATGTTTGTTTTTCTGTTCCTGCCGGTGAGGTTCCAACAGGAATCCAAATTTAAGACTATGTGGCCAGTCACCTCCCAGTGGGCCGTTTATTTTCCTGGAGAATTCTGACTTCTTCGTTTTCTACACTGGACCTAATGTAGTATTCTACCCCTCAATCCACTGGTAACTGGATATAAAAGGGCAGTAAGTTGGAGCAAATAAAACAGGTTAAGGGAGGGAGAAAAAGCAACAAAGACTCAAATTTATCATTTATAAATATACATCCTCATCACTTTCCATACTAGAAATAAATTTTTCTATAACCCAAGAAATTTAGGACCATACTCAACAAAAATAAGAGCAGATGAGTCATAACTTTTAGATGATATTCAAGGAAGAAGCACAAGGAGCATAAATAGCTGAAATCAATGAAAGGCCTGATGCAAAGTCAGTCATTTGGGTAATCCCAGGGATTACTTTATAAAGATTTTCCTATTTCGTTTTTGAATTTTTTTCACTCATATCCTCAGACTTTCTGGAAGAAACTGCAGTCATCATAATTATGTGTGGTTTTTCCTAATGATCGGCATTCCTTCCTAGACAAGGTTTATATTAATATTTTATCTATCTATCTATCTATCTATGTATCTATCTACCTATCGGCAGAGTGAGGATAAGACCAAGGCAACCTGTCTTTAGAGACCATGCTCATAATCAACTGTTCACTATTTGTTATTGGTCCAAACATACTCACTTGTCATTTAAGAGCATGGAGAGATTCTGGAGACAGTGTGTGTTTGTGTGTGTGCGCACATGTATAAAATAACATAATGACTGAAGATATATTGCAATGCACTATTCTTCTGGGACTCCAATGATATGAATGCTAGATATTTTGGTACTGTTCTATCGGTCACTGAGGCACTGTTCATTTTTTTTTTCAATGTTGTGTTTTTTCAGATTGGATAATTTCTACTGTTCTGTCTTCAAGTTTGGTGACTTTTTTCTCATCTCTATTCTGCTACTGAGCCCATCCAAAGAATTTTGCATTTTGGTTATTGTGTTTTTCAATTCTATATGTATTTCCATTTGGTTCTTCTTTATACCTTCCATTTCTTTGCAGAGATTTAGCTTTCCATTTGTTTAAAAATTACTTGCCCTTGCTTCTTAGATCCTGTTTATAATAGATGCTTTAAAGTCTTTGTCTAATAATGACATCTGTGTTCTTTTGTGGTTAGCATATTTTGATTCTCTTTTCACTTTGAGCTCATATTTTTCTGGTGCTTTGTATTTCAAGTTATTTTGTACATTCTGTACACTTAAAGTATTTTCTAATAAGACTGGGTCCTTTGTAAATTCTATGAAGAAACTTGATTGCTCTCTTTTGTTTTCATTTAGTAGGCAATCGACTAGGTTAGATTCAGCCAGCAAGTTCTGACTGCCTTCTGATATTGGTTCAAATATTATTGGGTTGTCGGAAAAGTCATGACGTATTTTTTCTACATTTATTGTTGCAAATATGCATCATCACTTTTCCAACAACCCAGTCGCTCAGTTTTCAAATATTGTTAGTGTTATGTGGCCAGCCTGGGGTCTGAGTGGTGGTCCACTCTGTACTTAGTTCTCAAAGTCTGTATTATGCTACTTAGGTCCTGAGCCACACATGAACATATCAGAGATGAGCTCAGGAGTGCTCTCTTGATGACTATTTCTTGTGGCTTTCCTACCATTTTCTGGCTTCCTTGGGCCTCCCTTCCTAGTCCTTTAGCCGGAAAGCTTGGACTTCATTTGCCCTGCTCTGCTGCATACTCTCAGTAACTCCATCTGCACCCAGGCCAATGACACAGGAGGACAGAGGAAAATGGTGATGTGCTAGTGCTCTTGGGGGTCACAGCTCTTTTGGTTAGAGGAAGTGATCCCCTTCCTCAGAGTTTTAGGCACCTGCCTGGACACTGCTGCCATCACTGTGCTTCTATAACAATATTGCTTGGAAACTGAGGTAGGGGATAAGGAAAAAATATGATAAAAACCAAGCGATTTTCTCCATTCTCTGGCCCTTGGCAATTCCTTTTGCTTCTCCTCCGTCCAGAAAGAGGCCTTCTCTTAGAGTTCTTTCAGTACACACTTGGTACATGCTTCTGGGTTTTGCGGTGCCTTTGTGTACATGCCAGGTAATACTGGAGGGCAAACATGGTAAGCTTTCACTGATTGGGTAGAACTTTAAATGCTAGCCTCCTTCCCAAATTCCCATGCTCCCTTTCACACTTCAGAGTTTTCAGAGCTCCAGGCATGCTGTCAGGATTTATGGTGCATGTAGTAAAGCAGAAGAGACAGGAGGGAGTGTGCTGACTCCATCTTCCCCCAAACCCCTACTGGTTTAAGAGGTTTCAGTTAAAATCTTTAGATATGTAAACTAATCCCTGAATTTTCCAGGTGTTTCAGTCAGATTCTCAGCTGCTATTTGGTGGCAAAATATGCAAATCTCTCAGACAGACCTGACTCAGGAAGCATTTAACCTGTTCCAGTGGTTTTACAAATTGGTCTTTCCAAAAGTGACAACTTCCAGAGCTACCTCAGGAGAAATGGTGCATACAGGTCTGGCTTTTCCATATATTATTTGGTAGAAATCTGACAGCTCGGGGTATGCCACCCAATCAAGGAGGATTGATGTTGGTTTACTTCATGAAGCCTATTAACTGAGCCTTACAAAAGCCAGGATTAGCATTTCAACACAGACTTGGGATATTTGGTTTCACATAGTTGTGAGTTACAGTTAAGGCAACTTCACAACTCTGCTCATATTTTGATCATTTCTACTATTACATGTACTCTTTCTTCTTGGCTGCTAAAAAAAAAAGTTATGGAACCTGTAAATCCTCATTGACAATGCTTTACATTCTTTGTAGGTTTAACTAGGATTAATTGATGGGAATATTGCTTGCTTGCCAAAGAAAATGTACTGATGAAACTGGAAATGGAGATGAGGAGAGAAACGAAAAGAAGAAAGAGTGCAGAAGCTATAAAAGAGATGACTGGGAAGATGAAGAAGGGAGAGGTGAGAAGAGGAAGGCAAGAGGGAAGGAGGGGAAAGAAAGAGGGGGAAAGGAATAGCAGCAGGAATGAAATGTGTAAGAAAAGACAGGGCAAGTGTTTTGCATTCTGTAAAGCACGCACAGCATGAAGCCCAGGGGAGGGGAAAGGTTGGAAGTGAGGATGGGGAGAACACACGAACTGGCTGAAGGAGAAACAGTAACACTGGACTCAGCAGGGACAGACAAGCTAAAACATGGAACCTGGTGGGGGCCACACCCAGGCACATTCTTGGAGCTACACTGAGACCCAGAGACTGGGGGACAATGGGCTGGGAGTAATCAGCACGATGCCTGTTTCTCCCCACAGGAGACGAATTATTGTTTTTTAAAAAAATATTGAAGATTGCTACAGGGAACAAGAAGCAAGCCACAAGTGAGAAAAGCATTTTCTTTTAGGCATAGAATAGGAATGAAATATGAGTAGCTTTAGGGGCAAATGGCAAATTAAGTTAAGAAAATTAGGTTCTCTGTCTTTAGGAAGGCCTGGTAAAACCATTTTAGATAATGGAGGACTGAAGAATACACAAATCCTTACCTGTATTTAGCTTATTGGCTGTGCTTCCTGCCATATGGTTAGAGAAAAAAAGGCCATAACAAACCAGATTTAGCCTATTTCAGGTATGTCTTTCTCTTCCTTGAAAATAGAGACAAAATCTAAAGCAAATACATGACTTCCTAACCCTTTAACATTACTATTAACTATACAGAGCTGTGAAGGCATGTGCTTTAATTTCAGTTCATTATTATAAAAGTCTTAAAATCCTTACTTGAATTTGTTCCTTTCTTCCCGTTCTATTCTCTGCAACCTTTCTTCTCTCTCCTGTCGCCGCCTCTCTCTCTCTGCTGCCAGTGACTCTTGGTGTTGCCTAAAGGATGATGTGAGAAGACCACTCAGTGATGACCTAAAGATATAACGAGTTAACGTTTTAGTGGTTTGGGTTGTGATTAAAAGTACTGACGTAGGAATCGGTCAGACCTTGGTTAGAACTGAGGGTCTGCCAGAATCTAGGTAGTACTTGGGGGAAATTACTGAGTATTTCAGGTCTTCTGTCTCAGGATCTTCATCTGTAAATGGAGATAAATAACCTCCTCTAACAGTGGGGAGAACAAAACTATGGTAATGTGTATAAAATACCAAGCATTCTGCACAGCAAAGGAAACCGTCAACAAAATGAAAAGGCAACGTACTGAATGGGAGAAAATATTTGCAAATTATACATCTGATAAGGTGCTAATATTCAACATATATAAAGAACTCACACAACTCAACAGCAAAAGAACAAACAATCCAATTAAAAAATGGGCAGAAGATCTGAATAGACATTTCTCCAAACAGGACATACAGATGGCCAACAGGTACATGAAAAGATGCTCTACATCAGTAATCATAAGGAAAATACAAATTAAAACCACAATGAGATATTTCACACCTGTCAGAATGGCTGTTATCAATAAATCAATAAATAAAACAAGTGCTGATCAGGATGTGGAGAAAAGGGAACCCTTGTGCACTGTTGGTGGGATTGTAAATTAATGCAGCCACTATGGGAAACAGTATGGAGGTTTCTCAAAAAATTAAAAATAGAACTACCACATGATCTATCAGTTCCACTTTTGGGTATTTATCCAAAGGAAACGAAAACACAAATTCGAAAAGATATATACACCCCATGTTCATTGCAGCAATATTTACAATAGCCAAGGTATGAAAACAACCTAAGTGCCCATCAATGGATAAACAGATTAAGAAGATGTGAGATATATACAATATTATTCAGTCATATAAAAGAATGACATCTTGCCATTTGTGACAACATGGATGGACCTCTAAGGCATTGTGCTAAATAAAATAAGTTAGATGGACAAAGAAAAATACCGTATGATCTCTCTTATATGTAGAATCTAGAAAATACATACATACATAAATACATACCTACATAGCAAGTTCATAGATACAGAGAACATATTGGTGGTTTCCAGGGGCAGGGAGTGGGAGAAATGTTTTTGTTTTAGTTCAAATAAATTAAATTATTCCTCATTAAAAATAGCATAAAAATGAAATACAATACTAAGCAACAAGCTTAGCACAAAAGCAGTCAATCTTTCTCTCTTTCTCTCTCTCTCTCTCTCTCTCTCTCTCTCTCTCTCTCTCTCTCTCATTCATTTTAAAGTTGTTCTATGGTATGACTTTGATGAGCTAGAATCAACATTCAATCTAAGACTGTTTTCTACTTTACATGTACTAAATATATTTTATCATACATCAGTTTCTCAATATACTGCCTCAGAATAATTCTGTCATCTTAAAATAAGGTAATGGGAAGAGAAAAGAGTAGAAAAAGACATAGTAATGGTCTGAAATCTGAATAGAATTAAGGAAATTTCATTCTATGTCAAGAAGCATCCAAGAACACAGCATGTTCGAGAAAAAGCACTTGACTCTGGGAAATACCACATGAACAATTTGGAGTGTTCACTGAAGAAGGCATATGGAGATGGTCAGCTGTGGGGAGGCCTCACTCAGGGATCACAAGGGTGGGTATCACAGGAAATTTTAACTCAGGAGAATGGAAGGAGGGGAAAATTAGATAACTACATAAAAAACAAAGAAGGGGGTAAGCTGGGAAGAAGAGTCCATTGGACTTCTGGGGAATAATAAAATCTTTATGGACAATTGGGCCTTCATTTATTGGGGGAAATAAAAACTTCTAAACTAAGATACAAATGTTTCTGAAATATAGTTTGGATAAAATCCTACCTCACGTCAGTGAAAATATACCTACCTGGTAGGAAGCACAAGGTATCGTAGTGCAGGAGAAAGATGTGACTCTGTATCACACACATTTATCATAAGTCCCACAGCCATTCTCCCTAGAATGGCGAGTCACCCCTGGGTATCAATCAGAGCTGGTAGGAGAAGCAGAGGGAAAATCCTGCCATCCCTGATAGCTACAGGGAGGAGGTAACCAAATCCTATACTCCAGGCTCACTAGGGAGCGGCTGTATCAGCCCTGGACACTTAGGCATAGATAGAATTTTATTTATCTTTCACATAAATGAAGTCCAGACTATGTTGTATAACTTCTATCTTGCTTAAGCTGTTGGGTTTTTTCCTGTTATATGCAGCCAAATCTAATCCATAATCAGAGTGGAGGGGTTTACCATACCTCTTGTATAGTGATTGATAGAAATTATGAATATAATAGGTTTGTTTAATCTGATAAATTTTATCTTACAGATGAACATATATAACCTGCCCCAAATTAGAGAAAACACCATCTTCTCAAATACATACAAACTATTCAAAAACTGACCATCAATCTTGCCACAAAGCGCTTGAATGAATGCCAAGAATTGGTTTTATATGGGCTACCTTCCTAACCACAATGCAAATGAGTTGAAAATAAATAACAAGGAGATAAATTTGAAAAGTTGTATAACTGGAAAATTTTAAACACTTTCTAATTAAGTCAGGTCAAATATGAAAAGTATAGAAAATTAGAAAACATTCAAAGGGTACTATTGGGTTGTCGAAAAAGTCATGACATATTTTTCTGTTTTTCATTGCAAAAATGCATCATGAGTTTTCCAACAACCCAATATAATGAATAAATTATATATCAAGATTTGTAGTATGCTTCTAAAAAAAGTATTTAAAAGGAAATTTATTGCCTTTAAGTGTTTATATTAGAAAAGAAGAGAGAATAAAAACTATCAATTGGTCAACTCAACAATTTGAAAAGTAACAATGGAAGAAATTCAAAGAAGAAACAGGAATGAATTAAAGAAAACAAAAATTAATGAAACAGGAAAATAAAGATATATAGAAAAAATCAATAAAGCAAAAAGCTGGTTTATAATTTTTTTGAAAAAAATGAATAAATTTTCTCAAAACTGTTAAAAAAGACACAAATATGTAATATTTAAGAATGACAGGTGATAAAATTATAGAGATAGCAGAAATAAAAAAATGAGAAAATAAGGGGAAAATTTTATGACATTTAAACACTTCAAAAGCTAGATATTCTAAAAATGTATAACATCAAATCTGACTCAAAAGAAATAGTAATTTTGGGTAGCCCTATTTCCCATTAAAGAAATCAAATCAATTAATTACATATATATCACACACACACACCAAATCAAAATAAAAAAACAACCCTGCTAGGCTCAGATTTCTTAAGGTGATTTCTACCACTCAAGGAAGAGTTCATCCTAATCATGTAAAAAGTTTGAGAGAACCGAAAGAAGGAAAAGCTCTCTAACTCATTTTACCATGTTTCCCTGGAAATAAAACCTAACTGGAAAATAAGCCCTAGCATGATTTTTCTGGGTGCTTGAAAAACAAGCCCTACCTCAAACATAAACCCCAGTTAAGATCGTCAGCCAGACATGACTGTTTGAATAAATGTAGATTTTTGTACATGAATAAATGAATAAACGTAGATTGTTGAGGCAAAAATTAATATAAGACCCAGTCTTATTTTCGGGGAAACACGGTATGTGATTAATAATACTTTGACATAAAAGCCAGACGAGAAGTATGCAGATAGAAATTTATATACTGATTGCAATTAGGAACACCACTGCAAAAATCTGAAATAAAATCATGCTGTCATTTTGTCCAATGACTACAACAATATTTTAAGATAAGATTATCAATAAATATAATTTACCACATTGACAGATGGTCAGAGAAAAGCTATGACTACCTCTGTAGATGCAGAAACACTTTAAACTCAATATTCATTTGTTTTAAAAACTTTTATCAAGCTTAGGAATAGAAGCAAGCTTTCTTAACCTGGCAATGGGTAGTTAAAGAATTTTTTTTAAACTATGCTAAGTGTCCTTCTTAATGCTGAGCCATTAAGAGCAGTATAATATTAGAAATGATGCAAGGATGCTCCCATCATTACTGACATTTGACATTATTCTGGTTGTCTTAGCCAGTACACTAAGATAAGAAAAATACGTACATTAATATCATTTCCTTGTTTAAAAATGAGAATATGAGAGCCTGTTTAAATTTAGAATAGTATTAGAACTTGAGAAAGTTAAAAGTGTCTAATCCTGTCAGGTGGATGCTGTCATTCCTCCCTGGGCACAGGTAAGAAAGAGAAATGCAGGTGATCCTCCTGCCCACTTGGACCTCGTATGAGCAGATTTCTGCTTGGCTCTGCGGCCAGAGAACACCAATAAATACACCTGGTGGGTGCCATTAACAACACATGGAGGCCCTTTCCCTAAACATTTCAGTTCTTTCTGAACTGGAATGTGAGCTACTAACTCAAAGCAATGAGGAACGGCTCTTCTTTTCCTGAAATGAAGCAAAATGCCTCAAGCAATTCAAAATATATTCTATTGGGTGACCTAGCACAGGTCCCTGTAGCAAGAAGAGAGAAGTAAAGGACCCCCAAGAGCTTATCTGTCCAGGATGTGTGTGTGTGTGTGTGTGTGTGTATATGCCATTTTTGTCATAAATATAATCTTAATAAGTTAAATTTTCTCATCTCCTGTTATCTAGGTAAACCCAACATGTGAGATCATAATCCCTGGTCCTATAAATCCTGTTGCTGAAAATGGGCTCAACCTATAATACCAATGCTGGAATGCATTCAAACTGTACAAAGGGATATCCCACATCATCAACAAAACACCAAATACCAAAATTCAAGCTAGCATGATAAATTCTTCTTTTTATAAAGGCATCCTTAACAGATTTTTACCTTTCATATTAAGTTTTCCAGAAAAATATCTACAGTGGTTGGAAGTTGCTGCAATGTTTAATCTTGACCAGTCTAAGGCCCAGCTACAATGTAAAGGAATGAGCAGAGCTTGCACTGAGAAAACCTGAGTGTGCCCACTCATTTAACCTCTCTGAGCCTCAGTTTACTTGTTTGTA